GCACCATTCTTTGAGCTCTCTTGTGTTTGATATTAGCTAATTCACTTTCTGATAATAGATTACATATAATATCTTTTGAGGTATTGCAAACATGGCAAATAAATTCCCATAGACTTCTGTAAATAGAAAATATGAGGATGATGAAGACCATTAGTGGAATTAAAATGCGAAGAGAATGCATCTAAGAGTGATGGTGGTCTCATAAAGAAAAGAAAATGGAAACATTTAATACCCAGGCCAGTGGGGACCACAGTCGTTTTTATAGTACTACTGTTAAAAGGTTTATTAAGGGGCGCCTGGGTGGCGCAGTCGGTTAAGCGTCCGACTTCAGCCAGGTCACGATCTCGCGGTCCGTGAGTTCGAGCCCCGCGTCAGGCTCTGGGCTGATGGCTCAGAGCCTGGAGCCTGTTTCCGATTCTGTGTCTTCCTCTCTCTCTGCCCCTCCCCCGTTCATGCTCTGTCTCTCTCTGTCCCAAAAATAAATAAAAACGTTGAAAAAAAAATAAAAAATAAAATAAAAGGTTTAAGTCAATTAAAATTAAGCATACAAAAAAAAAAAAAAAAACATTATGAAGATAGAAGATGGGAAACAGCTTATTTTGAGAAAAGAACACCAGAGTATATCAAGACATCTGCACCCTATCTTCATTAACTAGCCTGAATTAGCTTAACTTCTTTGAACTTCTTTAATAAACTCTGTGGTTTTTCAAAGTAGTTTTTTCCCCCCTGTGGCTTGATGGTTGGAGGTGGACTTTAGAAAGATGGTGAGGAGATGGCAACTAGGTTGGATTCCAGGATTTTAAATTTCCCCTCTCTCACTCCTCACCCAACAACACATACATGGACTGGTCATCACTCTTATACTCTGAGGTTTTGAATAAGATGCCATTAGAAAAAGGGCCACAGTGCTAAATATAACATTTCAAAATATTTTTTCTGGAATACCCTTAAGGATATATTTTATTTCAAAATTGTATAAATTCTTATGCTTAGAAAAACCAACCCCAAACCCATGGCACTGGGAGAACAGATGGGCTGGTTTACCCTCTCTGTGTCCCTGTTTCCTCTAGCTGTGAAATCAAAGGTTGAAATAAAATAATTATTGTCACTTTTAGCTATAGGATTCTATGTGCATCCATGGCCTGGCATTCTGGAACCAAGAATAGAAAAAACTCCAGATCCGAGCAGCCAGCCTGTTCATAGGATCTGATGTTATAAAACTCTTTGGGATTCTGCTAATCCTAGGTCTAATAGGTTTCATGTCCCAAAGCAGACCACAGGCAAAGCTGAGGCAGGAGCTTCTTGTATGTTGGTGAGAATGTCACAGTGCATTCATGGAGCAAGGTGTGACACCTAAGGGCAGGAAGGGAGGCAGTTTAAGGTAGTAAAACCTGTGAAGAGAAGTCAGCCCTGCCTTCTTGTTCTTGTTCAATTCTTAAGTAGACTGGTGACCTATAAAAAGTCCCTTAACCTTCCTTTATCATAGAGATCTTCATCTGTAAACGAGGGATTTGGACTATTTGAACACTGAGGGCCTCTCTTGGACAGGAAGAACAGACAATAAGGAATTCTTATCCACAACTTTTGTATATTTGATTTTGAGGATGTATCTGAAATGATAAGACACAGTGGGGTCAGAGTTGTCTACTCAAGCAAAAATCTAAGGAAATCAAGTTGTTTTGAAATTAAGATTTATTTTGGCTCTCTTTCGAAAATCGAAAAATATCCTAATTTTTCTGGGTTTTAATACATCTGAAAAGCTTTGAGAATACTGATGCCTGAGCCCTAGTGCAGACCAATTAAATCAGAATATTTGGGAGCACTTGGTTTTTGGATTTATTTTAAAATCTCCCCAGGAGATTCTATTGTTCAATCAGTGTGGAGGATTTCTGTGTTGAAGGAGTTGACCACAATTTAGAAATGCTAAGTAACTACCACAAATTTGTTTTGAATTTAAGTAGGGAAGGTAGCTCACAGAAATTGTTGAGGTGAGAAAAACGCTTTCTTATTGCAGTGTGGAAGCATTGTGAATATAAATGTAATGGAAGTTCTGTCTGCAAAAGAAAGGACTATAAAACTTCTGTGGACAAAATTTTACCTTTGTACTTTGGTTATTTTTTATAGACCTGAAGGTGAATTTGTGTGCTTCAAAATGTTAAAATTTATTTGTATTTGTAGACAGTCCTGATGCAGCCATAACTGATATATCTGAGTTAAATCACCATTGGTTCTTTTGAAAACCACTTCTAGAAACCACAAAGAGGCAGGAAGCTTTTAATTCTGCATATTTTCAGATTGTGGGTAGGTTGGAAAAAATAAAGATATAAGTGCTCAATACAACTCCACATGGCTAGCTATGGGCAATTCAAACTGTAATAAATGACAGATTCAATATGAAATGTTTATGGGCAGGGGTCATTCTGTGAAAGAAAATGAAATTAAGTGGCCTATTTGCTGTACTCTGCAAATATGTGCATCGAATAAATTGGGTTAGAATCTCTGTCACTCAGAGCAATGAACACAGTGGGAGTCATCACATTTCCCCAATTGCCCCACATGATGGATTGTTGATGTCTTGAAAAGATCTGGATTTCTTCAAATTGTTTAGCATAGAAGAGAAGCAGATTTTCTGATTTTCATGAGAAATGATCTTTCAGAAATTTATTTACAAATGCTTATCAAAGCGCTCTTTGAAGTAAGTTTTGTTTTCTGATGTGATGTCTCATCATCCACAATTTCAACACTTTCCCTTAGGAAAACACCACCAAGTATCAGTCCCAGATGGCATTATTTAAAGATGAGCATTTACAAAAAATGTTTACTAATAATAAGTGATACATGACAAAACAACATGGAGGCAGTAATTTACTATCATAACCATATAGAAAAAAAGCCTTGAAGATTAGTTTGAAAGACATATATTCCAAACTTCTTATATATTTAATATTTATTGATTGTTATGTGCAAAGTAGTGTATTAGATGATGGACAGGAATAAAATGGACTGAATTTTTTTTCAGTGAATAGCTAGAAATATTACTCTACAAATATGCTGGATGTTACAAATTCAGCAGTTGAAACTTTAAAGAAACTCACTCAAGAGAAGGAAGGGCACTTGCATAGCTGCTTCTAGTATGAAAGTAATGAAAGTTCTTAGCCCACCAATCAGATTTTTGAAATATTTGCTAGTAGCAGTAGGTATTCCTTTTAGGGCTAAACCATTTCTTTATTTTTTTAAAGATTTTATTTTTATTTTTAAGTAATCTCTACATTCAATTTGGGGTTCGAACCTATAAAACAGAGATGGAGAGCTGTGTGCTCCACTGACTGAGCCAGCCAGACGCCCTAGGGCTAAACTATTTCTTATAGTCTTTGGAAATGTTATTTCTTTTTAAATCTCCTATAGAGTTTGATTTTTTCCAGTTCAATCTAGTAAACAAACCTCTACCGATTTCCTATTTATAAGAGGTACCATATTGGGTGATAGATACTATAAAGATAAATACATTACTTGTCCTCAAGAAACATATTTGTGGGGGCGCCTGGGTGGCTTAGTCAGTTGAGCATTAGACTCTTGATTTTGATTCAGATCATGATCTCACGGTTGTGATATGGAGCCTCATGTCAGGCTCCAAGCCCAGGGTAGAGATTCTCTCTCTCCTTCTCCTTCTGCCCTTACCCCATGTGCATGGGTGCAAACTCATTCTCTCTCTCTGAGAAAAAAAAAAAAAAAAAAAAAGAGAGGGAGAGAGAGAAAAAAAGAAAAGAAAAAAAATAAAAGAAACATATTTGTGGAAATGGACTCTTGCATGAAAATAAATAAGACAGCAACACACACACACCAGATCAGAATTAATCCAACAAAGATGATCTTAAAGATTTATCAGGGTTGCTTTGATGATAAATTATTATAATGACCAAATTTGGGAACAAAAAAACTGATGAACAATTTCCTTAGCATTTTATATTATTTATATTACTCTATTGTTACATTATATGTGTATATATATATATATATATATATATATATATATATATATGAACATTATAACAATATTAAAAAAGCAATATACATTCTAGGCTTTTAAAGATATTGTATTTTATAAATCAATTCTAAAGCACATGAAAACTGACTAAGCTGATTTATTTGAAATATTTTTTCCTTAATAGCATAGAAAACCATGTAATTGACTTTGTCAAACATTCTAAGTATTAATTGCTCCAAATCCTTATAGTTAAGTCAACGTTAATTTTGCAATGACCAGTTCTGATAGAATATCTAAACTCATAGTTGGCTTATTTTTCTGAAAAATTTTACCTTAAAGCTATCAAATATTTTTGTCTTGGCAATAAAGGATCAGCAGACCAGTTACATTGTATAATTTTACTTCAGCCAGAATTCCATGACTCACATTGTTTCTAAGTGACGATATTGATCTAAGTCATTTTGAATAACTAATTTCAGAGAAACTGGCTGGCCAGAGAAGGAAAAGCAATTTAGATTGGTCATGCCAATACTTTTTTTATTATAAATGACCCAGTTGACAAGTTGAGCATGAGGCTTGTTTCTAAATCCATTTTTACAGTTTTGCTTTTCAGTTCCACTTTTATTTTATTTTATTTTTTTTTTTAATTTTTTTTTTCAACGTTTATTTATTTTTGGGACAGAGAGAGACAGAGCATGAACGGGGGAGGGGCAGAGAGAGAGGGAGACACAGAATCGGAAACAGGCTCCAGGCTCTGAGCCATCAGCCCAGAGCCCGACGCGGGGCTCGAACTCACGGACCATGAGATCTTGACCTGGCTGAAGTCGGACGCTTAACCAACTGCGCCACCCAGGCGCCCCTCCACTTTTAATAGTCATGACTTATATTGATCTACCTCAATTTTAGAATAAAATGTCTTCTTGATTTTCTCATTATGCCATATATTGCAAAATGTTCATTTCTAAGGGGGGTTTATTGAGATGAGAGCTTTATTTATCACAAATGATATACTTACTCTTTTGGAAACAATGGAAGACAAGTCCAGGCCAGTAAATTGGCATTATTGGTTGTACAGATAATTCCAAACAATCTTATAGTGAGCATGGATTCCCTTGGAAGTGACTTTATTTCAAGAGGAAAATTGATCCTAAAAATAAAAGAAAGAAGTAGATTACCCAGTTACAAAGATTTTTCATAGATATTTCCTTGTAATATAATGGTGTGTCATAAAATTAACTATTTGAATTGAGGGATCCTTTTGAACTTTTGTGTTTGATCTTATAAAAATGGAAATATAGCAGAAACACATAAAATAATGTAAGATTGGTTATTCAATAAATGTGGATTGCTTTAATTATAATTTTGAGATGCAATCTTATTTTCAAAAATTACAATGCCAAGCATTTACTCTTTGTAAACACAGACTAATACTGTTTTAGGGAATGGGGGGGGGGAGAGAGGAAATAACTTGAAACAAGTCTTAAAGCATAAATTTGCTATAATCATATTGAGATTTGGAAAAGAATATTCCAGGAAGAGAAAAGTACAAAAACAAGGTCATCTATGCATGGAAAGATTAAGTGTAGCTGAGAAACGGTGAGTGGTTCATTGTGGCTAGAGCAAGCGATGTGGTCAAGTTGGTTGGGGAAGTTATAGAGACTATAATTGAAAAGGTAGATAGTTGCCTGAATGCCTAAGAACTCCATATGCCAGGCAAGGGGATTTGAGCTTTTTCCTCATGGTAAAAGAGAATATTTGAAAAAGACAGCTAAAAATATACAGAATTGTTCACAATTTTCAATGTGAACCATTCTGGGTAATGATGAAATCCCAGGCATTTGGGAGATGATTGCTAAAATGTAATGGACATACCAATTTCTGGTTAAGTCAAAGGGAAGGAACTTCAAATACAGACCCTGGATGGATTGCATATTTTGGGCAAAAAAGGGGGCCAAGGGTAAAGACAGGGTAATGGTGAGAAAAACTTGGATTCAGACACTGAATCCATCAATATATAAAAGAGAATGTCTAAAAGGTTACATATGATACTATAAAGACTGAAAGGAGTGCACCTGGGTGGTGTAAGTGTTTAAGAAGAAGAAGCTTTGACAGAAAGTTGAGAGTATGATCTGAAGTCTCTAATGGTGGGCAGGGAGAGGGGTACCTTTCTTTCTTTTCTGGAATCATCTTGATTCCATAGAAATGATCAGGTTCTACTATAAGAATCTCCAGAGAAGTATGGCATTTAGGAAAGATCTATTTATGAGATGAGGAAATGAAAAATATAGTTTTCAAATGGCTTAGATGGGGCAATGTGTTTACTAGAAGATGAGAATGCTAGGAAGATATGGAAAAACTAAAACAGAGGTTAGCAGATAGGGGAAGATCATGGCAACTGATTCCCCAAGGGATGGGAAAAGAAAGAGAAAAGTGACAGAGCAAATGGGACAGTTGGTGTTGTATGATATATGATGGTATTAGGTATGAGGAATATGAAAAAAAATTCACATTTCTTGTGATTCCCAGTTGAATTTTGACATCAATTTCTTAAGCAGTAGGTAATTGTTAAAATACTGATGATGACCAAAGCCAATGTTCAATTGGAAAGTGCTGACTGAGGCTGGCCCAGTTGAGACCTCAGGTGATATTGAGCTTTTTCTCACACTAGGATTTGGCTGTCTAATCTGGATGCTAAGGAGAAGTCCTTACTCAAGATGTCAAATAACACATTTGTGACCCCCTTTTTTGAGTGGCTGGGCAGTATTCAGTCTAAGAAAAAATGAGGAGTTAATTCAGCCCAGTGACCATACTGGTTTTGAGGAGGTACACATCCATGTTCCCAACACGCTATTCCTAGTGATAAAGAGTCCCAGATCCAGGGTGTAATAAAGCAGCTAATAATAAGGAAGACAGAAGGGGTATTATAGAGGTAAATTTAATAACTAATATTTGAGTGAGCATATTACTGGAATAGGACAATGAAGAATTAAAGATGAATTCTAGACTTGTAGATTATGTTATAGTGGATAACTTCAACTGATACAGAAATATAAAAGAAACAGGAAATTGGGGTAAGGGTAAATACTATGTGCAGTTTAAGGTGTGATATAATTGAATTAATAACAACTCAGATTTCAATATGTAAGCTATGAGTGGAGAGAACAAGTCAGAAATTTGAATCTAGATATATCTGCATTCAAATATTTGCTCTATGACTAATAAGCCTCATTTTTCCTTATCCACAAAATGGATCAAACATTGTATAACACAGTAGGTGGCAATTGTTGGTTATATATCAGCAATACATTCATTATTCAACCAATAATGTAATAATTTATATTAGCCAGTGTAGATGGATGAAATTAATTCTAGTTAAAAGTAGGAAAGGTGAATAAAGGAAAGACTATGGTGAATAAAATCTATTTTTCAAGATTAGCAAAGTTTAGATTATTAAAAAATTAATTTGTTTCACATTTATATATTTAAAAATCTTTATTTTCTTTCATATTCTTTTATACCCAAAATATCCACCTAAGATATTGTGGACATACTTCTCAGCTTAAAAGAAGCTCTGAAACTCAACATAAAATGTTGATGACCCTATGGAATGCACAGTAATTTCTTGAATGTGCTCTCTTTTACTTGTAATTGATTTTCTATTCAGTTTTCATATTTCTGTGCTAGAATGGAAGATATAATAATTTCACTTTATTCCTCACATAATCTGGAGTGTTCTTTTTCTCATTGAGTCTGGCTTCCTCATGTATAACTTCACTTGTTAGTGAGCTTTCATATCAAGAACGACAAAAATTCAATCAGTTACAGTGGATAGTTACTGTCAATTTCCATTTTGTCATTTTTATTAATAAAAATAAATTCTTCTAGGGTAAGAATACATGCTCTCTAAATAGTTATTTATTCATTTCTTGCATACATATGGATCTTTAAAGCCAGAATAATCTCATACTCACTAAGAAATCTTTTTTTTTAACTTCTATATAGCTATTGAAAAACTAAAGGAGTGAACTTTTATACAAAAAAGTTAGAAAAATACTTTAAGAGACAATTCAATAAGTAAAGTTGGATTGCTTCTTTTTATGCAAGTAGCTGGCATAGATTTAACCATATATTTGCCTTACTCTACTGTTGAAAAATGAATAAACACTAAATTTTTTCTGAAACATTTTTTTCTTCCATATGAGATAGTTTTCCTAAGATCAGAGTAAGTTTCTCTTGATAAAAATGGGAGATTTAATGAAGTAAGAATGTTTAGAACTCTCCTTTTAACACATATATAACAATAAACCATTGTAAGGACTTTGATTTTTGTCTGAATGAAACTGGGAGCCGTTTCAGTATTTTTAAGGAGAAGAATAACATAGCCTGAATCACATTATTTTTTAATTTTTTTTATGTTTATTTATTTCTGAGACAGAGAGAGACAGAGCATGAGTGGGGGAGGGGCAGAGAGAGAGGGAGACACAGAATCAGAAGCATAGCCTGACTTACCTTTTTAAAATAAGTCACTTTAGCCACTGTGTGAGAAGGACTATCGAGGTGCAAGAGAAGTAGGGAGACCATTATAAAACACTGGTAATTCAGGAGAGAGAGAATGGGGGCCTATACCAATGAAAGTTATGAAAAGTAATAGTCTAGAAATATTTTGAGGAGAGAGCCTGTAGGATTTCCTGAGAGCGGGAGATTCAGGTTAAGGATGTGATCTGAACAACTGGAACTGAAAAGGATCATCCAAGGTGGCTATCCAAGGATAGAACAAGTTTGGAATGTAAGGTTTACAGTATTGCTTCAGAAATGTTGAGTGTATAAATGTGGAGTTTGTGACTGATGCCTGGTTGGTGATATAACTTTTGGAGTTGTTGGCATATAGATGCATTTAAGGATATGTGATGGTAAAAGAAAACTAAAGGAGTAAGTTTAGACACAACAGAAAAGAGGTGTAAGTGCTAAGATCATGATCAGTCTGGGAAAAGAGGAAGATAGAGAAGTAATGTCCTGTGCAGGAGGAGGAAAGCGAAAAGAATATGGGAGCCAAGTGGAGAGCATATTTCAAGATGGAAGGTAAGAGCAACAGTGCCAAATACTCCTAAATAGAGGATGTAAGATGAAGACTGAGAAACCAGCATTAGATTTAACTATGCAGGTCACTAGTGACTCTAATGGGCAATTTCAGTGAAACAGAGTGATGAAAGCCTAACTGGAGTATATTTTAGAGCAGAGGGGAAAAATGAAAAAAGTGAATATACACAACTCTTTGGAAGGGTTTTGCTATAAAGCAGAGGAAAAACACAGGGTAGCTGCTGGTAGGAGAATGGAGCTTTTTTTAAATCTAAGATGTGAGGACTATCTATAGAATATAAATACTCTGCCAAGGATTTTATATGTTTTAAGAAATAGTATAGAAATCACAGTAAAAACATCAGCTTTGGAGTGAGAGTAGATCTGAGCACTAGTTCTGACGTTTACTGGTTGTGGGAACTAGGAGAAGTTAATTATGCTTCACAACCCTCAAAACACTGATCTTTTAAAAAGGATGACAATACCTGTTTCGTATTTTTGTTGTTAAGATGAGATAATATATTTTGGATATACTATGATGATTAAATGTGTCAAATCTATGTCATACATTATTAGATAACACATTTTCTGTCCTTAAGTGTACAGCCTAGTAATGGAGTGTATAATCAATTATAGTAAAATACATAAAGAATGCTACAAGCACCTAGAAAAATGGTAATTTTTAATTCCATTTTTAATGGAAATGAAATCAAATGAAAATAATTCTAGGTTGAGGTCACTAATTCTATTGGGGGAATCAAAAACTCACAGGAAAGATAGTACATATACAGCCTCGAAGGAACAGAAGAAAAATATATCAGTGTAGTTATTCCAACAACACTAATGATTTTCAATTTATTTGGGGTTTGGGAGGGGGATTTTTTAAATTGACTTTAGAATTAGTAGGTGTTTTCTTGAATTGTTTAAATGACAGCACATATCTATCAGCTGAAAAATAATCTGAGTTTTTGAAATAGTTAGGAATAAGTTTTAATTAAGTCAGAAAAATAATTTTAGTCATTGAGCTAATTAATAACATTTTTAAAGAATCACTTGTTACATGAAATTCATTTGCTTGTCCATAAACACTGAACTCTTACTCTATCTAATGCTGCTTGTGTTGCCAGGAACAGAATGGAAAACTTTAAAAATAGAATAAAATAAAATGCCAAAAACAAAAGATCTTTTTTTCATTTGGCAAAATCAAACAGAAATATAAGCAAACACATTCAGTAAGAGTAGATTGAGGTTTACATCAACCAACAAAAGAAAAAGTGGCCAATTATTTCCAATGATATAAAAAAGAGTTTATAGGAAAGGTAAAAGAGTGTCTTGAAGGACAGGTGGGCAGTAAAGGCACTGTGCTCTTGATAGATGGAGGACCCCTAGCAGAGACATGATTTCTCAGTTTATAGTTAGGATAAATAGATCAGATGCAGAATGACTGGGTACAGGGGCAGGGAGTGGGGCTAACTCCAAAGATAAAGGTGCAGAGATAGGCAGGGGCCAAACCACTGGGAGCCTTGTATGTTGTGCTAAAGGATTTGTATTTTATTTTGTAAGAACTAGGGAGCCATTGAAGAATTGTATAAGCAGAATTCATTTTGTGCAATAGAAGAGGATTTTGTAATTAAAGAACAGGTCTTTGGTCAAAGGAATTAAGAACCTAACCAAAGAAAGGAAGATAAATGTTGTCATAGTCCTAGAGGAAGGAGGAATTGCTTTAGCATAGAAGGAACCATGGAGTATTTAAAAATTGAAGGCCAAATGTCATGTCTCCATTGATTGTAGTAACACTAAGATTGGGATAAATGGCACTATCTAACAACATCCTTGGAGTCCTAGAAATTTTGACACACATTTCTCTGAGAAAAAGCACAGTATTGAGGAGTCAAATCATCTCCCAAGCCAGATCTTGTGAAAAGGCTGAGGGATAGTGGGTTGGGAGTTTTTTTTCTATTTGAGGTAGGAAGAAAATTGATTGTAAGGGCAGCATTGGAGACGCCAGAGAAATGACTGAAAGCTAGTGGAATAATGTCATAGGAACAGCAAGGAAAAGCAATCATGAAATAAAGCAGAAGTAATCATGAAATAGCCATAGCCAGGGCCTGAGTCTCCTGAGATTCTGAGTAACGTAAGGACTTGAGGAGGAGGGAGGGGATACAAGGGAGCAGGAAGGCATGGATTGTGTCAAGATGGTGCTTTTTTCTTAGCGTTTTAACATGTCTCCATTAAATGAGAAAGTAGGTGCCAGTCTCCCAAAACTAGATGGTAGTTTACACAAGGCATAATTATTATCAAAAAACGTGATTGTTTAAATACACTTATAATTGGCTCTCATGGGAAAATGGAGATTACATATGTTATTAGGTATTTTCTTTCTTCTTTGTTATATCTAGAATCTATTTCCCTCAGCCCCAAATAGAGGGTATCTCTTATATCCATAGTGTGTGAATGATTAATAATTCTGCTTTCTCCAATTTCCCTTTGTGATCAATTCGTTGATGTAAATTGGATACTTGTCTAGGTTTATAAATGGATTTTTTTAACCTGTTGAATTGTGCACTCAGTTATCTACGAGAATGAGCATATTTATCACATCACTGAATCACATCAACTGGTAATATCTTTAAAAAAATCACATCTTTCAGTTTAAAAAAAAGAGAAAAAAGAATCCCTGATCCTTATTAGATAAATGATCCTGCCAAAATAAAGATTAAACTTACATTTCATTCCAGTTGACCAAGAAAAAGAATAATTTTTTGACTGGAATATTTCTGTAGCTTCTCACTTGGCACAACTTCTTTCCAGCATATGTAAGCCAACAGGAAAAAGAAAATGTTTTATAGCTAAAAAAATAAATAAATAAAAATTTAAAAAATTGATTCAATAAGCTGAAGACTATAAAGAAACCAGTTTTCTATATGGATCAATTATTTTTATAGTTAAAAGTCAAATGAAAAAGTTATATTTGCTTGTATAAAGTATACCTCAAAAATTACTTTAAAAATTCATGTTGGGTGACATCAGCAAGGTGGTACAACAAGAAGCCCTAGACCCTCCTTCCCTCATGGAAACACCAATTCAGCAATACATGGATGAATTCGCTTTGTGAGAAATTTAGAAACAAGAGTGTCCTGCACTCCAGGCAAGTCCAAACCAGTCACATAGAAATCAGTAGGAAAATTTGTGGCACTGCTTTTCCAGAACTCCTCCCCTAGTAGAGTGTAGTGTGATCAGGAGGAAACCTAACTCCCAGCTTCTCCCTGGGGTGGGAAAGAGAAAACTGGAACATATGTCCAGCATTCAGACTTTTTAGGGGGCTATCCAAGGAACTGGTTTCTGTCCTGCCTAAATCTAAATTTTTTTTTTCAACGTTTTTTATTTTTTATTTTCGGGACAGAGAGAGACAGAGCATGAACGGGGGAGGGGCAGAGAGAGAGGGAGACACAGAATCAGAAACAGGCTCCAGGCTCCGAGCCACCAGCCCAGAGCCCGACGCGGGGCTCAAACTCACGGACCGCGAGATCGTGACCTGGCTGAAGTAGGACGCTTAACCGACTGCGCCACCCAGGCGCCCCAGTCCTGCCTAAATCTAAATGCCTAAACCAAATCTAATTTGAACTAGCACAAATTCACTTGCCCCTGTCTTTTCTCCCTCTTCATTGGAAAATGAAGAGGAGAACATCCAAACTTCTGGATTCTTCCTAGGGAGAAAAAGAGTCGGAGTGTGAGTCCAATGTTTCAGTGTTTTGGGTGGTGGCCTGAAAGACTGGTTTCTGTCTTACCTAACTCATAGCACAGATGGGACCTGGCAGGGAGCAGCTGAGAACCAAAAAGAGCTGGGGAGCTTACAGCTGCACTGGCAAACTTGTCGTACCACAAACAGACACTAGGGGGAACAAAAAATATGAGTTTCTTAAGAAAGAAGCAAAATGTCTCTAATTTTTGAACAATCAATGCATAAAACAAATCAAATGGGAAATTAGAAAAAATACTGATACAAATGAAAATGAACACACTATACTAAAATTTATGGGATGCAGCAAAAGCAGTACTAAGAGAGAAGTTTATAGCAGTAAATACTTACATGAAAAGAAGAAATATCAAAAATAAACAAGCTAACTTTATATGTAAGGAACTGGAAAAAGAGGAACAAACTACGTCCAGAGTTAAAAGAAGGAAGAAAATAATAAAGATTAGAGCAGAAATAAAGCAGACAATAGAAAAATAATGGAACAAAAAAAAACAAACAAAACTGTCACACCATATGTAAATGCAGGCTCTGTGCATATAGTGTTATCAGTATTTATCTGGCTAGTTTTTCCATGTTAGTTAAAATTGATAAGTATTTGCTAATGGCTAAAAAATGTAAGAAATTTATTTTATTATATTTATTATATTATACATCAGACCTTTAAATTTTCAAAAAATTGAGAAAAAGGCATAAAAGAATCATCCCATGGATTTAAAGAAATATGTGTATGTGTAGATAGGTAATGTTTTTTACATACAAAAGCCAATTTTTCTTTCTAATTAACTTTATAAATATGTGTACAGTTCAGTTATTTTCAAAAATGCAGATAGCATTTTCTTTTGTCTATTTATTGGAAAGGTTTCAGCTTTTCTTTGAGATGCTAAATGCAGTGGGTACAATAAATCCATTTATAAGTTACTATTCTTTTATCAACTTTAATTGATTTCATACACATTCTACTATAGATTTAATCCATAAGGCATTTAAAATAATGATTATAAGGGTGCCTGGTTGAGCATCGGACTCTTGGTTTTGTCTGGGGCCATGTTCTCACGGTTCATGGGTTCAAGCCCCACATCCAGCTTTGCGTTGACAGCACTCAGCCTTCTTGAGATTCTCTGTCTCCCTCTCTTTCTGCACTCCCCCTTCCCCCCAATTCTCTCTCTCTCTTTCTCTCTCTCTCAAAAATAAATAAATAAGCATTTAAAATAAAATAATGATCATAATATGAATCTAATCATGTTATTAAAGAAAATACTACATAATAGAGCCAACCTAAAATCTAGCAATGTTCCAGGCATAATTGTGGTTAATTTCCAATGTAACTCAAATTACTCTTGGCTAATTCCCACTTTATCAAGGTACTAATTTCACAAAACATTTACCACTCACAACTTGATGCGTATCAGAGTGATTTTTTTTTTCTATTAAGTACTTTTCCCTGTGTGTGCTATCCCTCTGTTCTGTTAATTAGCATTGGTCTTTTAAACTCAAACATTAAAAAAAAAATTAGGGCAATTACATAAAGTAGGTTGAGAATTTTCTGTTTCTATAATGATATACTGACAATATGCAGCTATTTTTAATATGGAGAATGGGAGAAGACTTGAGGGAAAAGGAATGCACATTTGGTAATGAAGTTTTTAAAAATGGTTTTAAGAATTAAGATAAATTTACACTGGTTACATTTCAAAATCTTGTAAAATATTTGCTCCTGCAAATAAGAACAAGACAAATTATACTCTAATTAGAAGCCATGTAAATATTAACTAAAAGTTTTGTGAAAAACTCACCACCACTCACCTGTGCACCCAAGTCTCTGGAATGTTGTGAACTGCATACACTGTGAAGCTCAGGTGGGAATGGAGTCCAGGATTTACATAGGAAATGTCATCAGGTATATTTAGAGGCTGGAAATCTGCATAAAAGCTGCGGCAATAGACACTTATTAGCTGGTAGATGGCCCTGGAGAGTTCAGTTGTCACTTTCTCTATCAAGCCTAAGGTGGGGGAGAGGGGGGGGAAGGATAGAAATCAGGTCATCTGTGAAGGGCCATACTCATTATAAGCCATCAATTACAGCTTTGAAATTTCTTATGATAACTTTTAAATAAAATTTAATTAAAATGACCATCTACCAACTGACACCAATTAGCCATCTGTGCCTCTCTATGCAGCCTGAATTAGTTGATAGTTGTGTAGATAATCAATAAACTTTCATATCTTCAGTTGCAAAAATCTTGGAATCATGGCCTTTTATCATAGATCAGAGTTTTGGATTATTAATTTGGCATTCTTTAATTTGAAATATTTTTTTATTCTAGTTTATGATTGTTAAGAATTAACTTTCAGACAAGGAACATGTTTTCTACGTGGCTTAGAAGTACTTCAAACAAATACTATCTAAAAATTAATCATAATAAATTTGACTATGCTATTATGTTTACCATTAACTTAACACTAATCATATACATTGTGCTATTGTAAAAGGAGAACAGTAAAAGTACCTGGCTGAGATCTGAAATAAGCTTGAAATGAAAGATTTATGATGGTTACTAAATCTCTTCAAAATTGAAGCCTTACTTAAGTTTTACTATTAGTTGTTTAAACGGAGTTTATTGATTATTCCTAAAAGTGACTTGTCACAAAGGAAAAAAAAATGAGAAAAAAAAATGACTAAGTATAGGGGCTAATAGCTGTTAAGTGTGTACTAAATGAAGGCATGCCAATTTCATAGACCATATGGAAAGGGTCACCTAATCATGGAATTTAAGGTAAACTTTCCTGAATTTCTCTCTCCTAATAAACTCCCAATAAAATTCCTACCTGAGAGGAAGGAAGTGGAAGAGACTGATGAAATGGACCAGGTAGTACAGGTAGTGGACTTTGATCAAAATCAGGAAAGATAGCGTCATTACAATGGTGAAGTTTTTGAGGATGATGAACATTATCCTAGGGGTGGTGTTCAGTGTCAAACCTCTTCATGGGGCCACTAAATAACACTAACTACCGACATTTTGTATGCAGTAGTGAATGAGTGAAGGAATATACTTCACTCATTTGCAATTGTTTTTGTTTTAATACTCAACTATGATAGTGTTTCAAAAGTTAAATGAAGAATAAACTCAAATATGAAAGCTCAAAAATTATCATCTTTTAATCCAAATCAAGAAAATCTTTAACAAATATTTAAGTGATAAAGGGTTTAGGAAATGAAAAGAATGTATGAAAGGAAGTAAGTTGTGAATGGAAGCTCTGGTGCCCTCCTCAGAGTCCCTCATGCATGATGGGCTTTGCTGAAGGGGCCTCCAGGCAGGTGGCACAGCTACCTACGGTAATGGTCAAAGAGCTCCTCGGTGTGAATCTGCCAGGCTTCAGTCTCATCCCCGAAACAGGCCTCCTTAAATCCTATAAATTTATTCTGGTTGAACAGCTTAAGGCAGAAAACTATTGAAAAAGAAATCAGCCTAATCTGATCTGAATGTTATTCTTTCCCTTCCCGGGCCAAAAGAAAAGTACTGAAATGCCACACTTTAGATATTTCTACTTTTCGGCCACGTCGTCCTGGAGAAATGAAATGAACTGCAGCTTAACTTGTGGAGGGACGCCAGAGAGGGAATCTGTGTTCTTTGGTGACACCCACATCCAGCTGGCTACAGCACTGAGGAGAGCGGGGCCTCGAGGCCCTCCTAAGGAGTGTTAGATCTTATCAGGAGGCCTGAACCCTGTGTCCCTGAGGGCCCTGAGCGCTACTCTGCAACTAGACCAGACCACCAGCTGGATAATGCTGCGGTTGTTGAGGGAGAGGCGGAGCCAGCCTTCTGAAAGAACTCTGGCGCCGGACACATCAGGTTGCAAAAGGTGGCATGGCAGATTTCAGAACCATTCTGCTGCCTGGCGTCTGCCAGGTGGATGCAATTTAGTAAGCCACTTCCCTTCCGGCTCTGTCTTCCTAATACCCTCAGTCTCGGGCTTCCAGTGCGACTTGGGCCGATTCAGCTCGTTCAGCTAGATATGGGCGCCTTCCCTCACTCAGCAGGTCTGTGCTGACTTTGCAGACCCCTGGCACGTGTTTGCTGATGATGTCAGTGGTTTCTATCGCGTGGGTCATGGAGGAAAGGTCGATTTTATTAAGTTTCAATCCCAAGTTTACAAGTCGGAACACCAGTCAGCCTAGCCTGTCTGCGACCTAGGAGAGTCGGTAGTGCAATCGGAAGAGGCGTCCACCCGGTACTGGGATTGCCTGATGAGGAAGATGTGCCGCATGGCCTTGCCTTTGTAATGGTCCAGCCTGGGCATCAGTTCTCCTGCAGACTTCAGGCTCCTCTTCCGGATGTTGAGCAGGGTCTGTGGTTCTCCCAGTACCAGGTGGAGTCCCAGGCACCCCTGCGGCACGTGGCCCCGCCCACTGTGGCGGCTGCTCCGCTAGGCTCTGGGCTTGCGCTGGGTGCTCCAAACTCCAGGGAGAAGGGCCCGGCGGCCGAGATCTGCCGCTGAGAAGTCACCGAGAGAACAAGTAAGCGCGTCCTTTGAAATTATGTTGTTAAAATGGGCAGTGATTTTGATTTGATTTGATGTGTGCCAAGTCAAGTCACACAGTACTGGTATTTATTCAAACGCATGCACTTCCTCGTCAAGTTGTTTCTGAAGCATAAATTGCTTGTAGTTTCTAGTTGTTTTGAAAAGAAAATAAAAGAGCCAGCTTTTTCCTCCATCAGTCTGCAGTGTTCCAATACCAGACAATTTGGTACTCAAAAATCATGCCAGTTTCAGCAGGGAGCTTCTTCGAACCCCATCCTGTCCCTCAGAAGCTCTGTCCATAATTAAAACATATTTTTGTTGCTCAACACATGCTATTATTCACTTGGTTATTCGTAAGTTTGTACAAAATTTATAAGATGGCCACATTTTACTTAAAATGGTGCCCTTTGTTGAAATCAGTCTGAGGGAATGAGCAGCATGAAATAAGCCCTAATTAAAATTCTCAGAGAAATCAGCAGTAGCAGTTAATAAAACAGAAGAGTAAAGCAGCATAAAAATCGTTTTTAAAGAGGACTCAAATTCTTGAGGCCGACCCACAGGGATTCTCCTGACCAACAGGAGGCAGGGAACTATAAATTTATAGAAACATGTTACCCAGTCCCCACATTGTGCTGTTGGTACTCTGAATCAGGAAGTATAAACTTCTCGTTAATAATTCCTAACCTTGTGCAAATGAATACACATCTAAAATAAATTATAAAGTTGGGTCAGAGATCTTATCAATTCAAGCCCCAGCATGTATTTTGGGAAATCTTAATTATCTGGGTATTTACTCAAACTCTACTCTTGACTTTTTCTGCAGAAATACAGTTCTTGGTTATAATTTGCTTCTTTGAGGTAGTATAGAGATGTGTGCTTATGCATTATGCTTTTCTTCCAGAACTCTGGATGAAGAGTCCATTTCACATATCATCAGAAATGTACTAGGGACTCAAGATAGTGGGGTTGGTGGTGAAATATGGAGTAATAACATTTATCACACCTGATTTTACTCTGGGAATAGTTATAGTGTCATAAATTGAGAAATAGTGACAATATATATTTGATTAAAATTTATTAAATAGGGGCACTTGGGTTTCTCAGTCAGTTAAGCATTTGACTCTTGGTTTTGGCTCAGGTCATGATCTCATGGCTTGTAAGTTCAAGCCCCGTGCAGGGCTCTGCACTGGCAGTGAAGAGCCTGCTTGGGATTCTCTCTCTCTCTCTCTCTCTCTCTCTCTCTCTCTCTGTCCCTCCCCTCCTCATGCACTCTCTCTGTCTCTTTCTTAAAATAAATAAATAAACTTAAAGTTTAAAAACATAAGATGCATTAATTAGAATCTGTGATGATTTAGCATTGAATAGAAGTCTTTGTGAACATTCCTACACAGTTCTCTGGGATCTTATATCCCAAGCCCTTAGGACTATGGAATGAAGGGATTTTATTCCAACATTCCTAGAAGAAAGGAAGAGAGGGCCAATTCCATCTGATATAATCTCCAGCTTGTTCTCTCTTCATTGTATCACTTGGACTCTGTGTTAGTGATATTGTTAGGGGGTGTCCATCCTTTCCCTTCCTTAATGATGTTCTGGAGTTATGAATGCCTGGAACAGGGATTTTTGCGCCAGTACACTTTGTTTGTGTGTGTGTTTGTTTTTTCTCCATGCCCTCTGCCGTCCCATATTTCTCGGTGATGTGAAGGGGGGAGCTCTTCAAATGTAATTGAATGTCTTCTTTTGAGTGGTGGTAATTAGAGTACAGAGGATATCCCTCCGCACATTACTTTCTCCTAAAAATGATTAAGGGAATGGAGGACAGGTTGGGGTTATCGTTGGTATGTGAGTCTGTTTCCTTGAAGATACTCACAGGGTTCATACGCCAAATACCACTTGCCTGTGCAAGCAAGAACAACTCTGACCACACCCTGCACATTAAGTAACTATCATGTCTGCTATGCATATTGGGGAATCAAAGAATTTAATTCCCTAAGATCACAGAGTCAAAAAGTGGCAGAGTTGAAATTAACCAGATTCCAAAAGCCAGATCCTTTGCTCTATACCACACTATTACATATCCACTGTTTTCTGTAGAGGCAAAGTCCTCCTGTGGCTTGCAGTTTTATAGGCTCGGAGCATCTGTGAACACTAATTACTCCAGGATTTAATCCTCCTACATATTATGTTAGATTGGTCTTTCAAATACTATTTTAATTTAAATTTGAAATTAGTGACTTTGAAGAAAGACATCTGCTATTTTTTAGACTCTTCTTACATCAAAATATAAGTAGGTAAATAAAATTTTATAGTTCTTGGAATGGTTATAAAAATATTTTCAGTATTCCTTTCTTTTTTATAGACCTCTTGACTTTTCCCATTTCTTAAAAATGTCAGGCTAAAAGTTTAGAGTGTTGATTTTTATTCACTTGCAGAATAATCATTTCCATCAGTAAAAACAGCTTAGCAAAACACTTATGCCTCAAAAAATGTTTGTTGCTACCATAATATTTGGATAAAAAATTGAAAAGAATTAAATTATTTTTGTTTCTGTAACTGTTTCTTAAATGTGGGTACATGTATGTTTTACCTTTTGCTGAAGTCTCTGAATTTTGATGAAAATTCTGAAAAAGAAAAATAAGTGCAAAGACAGAATAGTTATTTAGAAAACAAATTCACAAAACAACCAAACTGATTATATCCAGATCTAAACACTGAAATTTCTCTTGCATCATAAAAAGACAAAATATTTATTGTTATCATGTATCAATGTTGCTTAATAAACAGAAGGAAGCTAAATTATAAAGTAAAAGGAAAGCATTCTGAATGTTTTAATAAACAATCTAGGTTTTTTGACTGAAAAAAATTTAGAATAAATTCAGCCTGTTTAGTGTTTTTTTAAAAAAATTTTTTAATGTTTATTTATTTTTGAGAAAGAGAGACAGAGCACGAGCAGGGGAGGAGCAGAGAGAGAGGGAGACACAGAATCCAAAACAGGCTTCAGGCTCTGAGCTGTCAGCACAGAGCCCAACACAGGGCTTGAACTCACAAACCATGAGATCATGACCTGAGCGGAAGCCGACGCTCAACCGACTGAGTCACTCAGGCACCCCAAGCCTGTTTAGTGTTATTAGAACAGTTCTATATATATTGGCTAAACTCACTTCCTTCCCCAGCAGTAAATAAGTTTTTGAAATAAGTGCATTTTAATTCTTTCTCTGTAGTATGTCCAGTTCTTATTATTAGCAGTTCTTATTATTAGTTCAGTTGCAAGCTTTGGGCTGCTATGCAAAGAGGGCTGGATGGAAGTGGGCAAAATCAAGGGCACCTGGGTGGCTCAGTTGGTTAAGGGTCAGACTTTGTCTCAGGTCATGATCTCACGGTTCATGGGTTTGAGCCCCCTCTCCTGGGATTCTTTCCCCCTCTCTTTCTCTGCCCCTCCCCTGCTCATGCTCTCTCTTTCTCAAAATAAATAAATAAACTTAAAAAAAAAATCAAGTGGGCAGAATCATACAGATTTATGATATAGTTTCATTTCTTTATTTTTAGGAGATTTAAAGAAACTGACAGTAAAACACTTGTGACCATATTCTAAATAAAACAGTACTATCTGAAATTATATTTTTTGTCATTTTAGTTCATATTCATTAGTATGGTTTTATTATTTATTTGCTTGTTTGTTTATTTGTGTTTGTGGAGACCTAGAATTACTTTAGTGGTTTAGGATTCACTGGTTATAACTTCATTATCATGAAAATTATATATAGAGATACACAGATTCACAAAACTGAGGTTTCAGTCCGAAAGCAAACATAATTTTCTAATATGTCAAATCCATTTTAATTGGCATTACATTTTTCAAAATTTTGCTTTAAGTTTGTTTTTAAAGCCCAATTTCTCAAACAAAGGATAATCGTGGTGTTTTTTTTTTTTAATCAAGAACTTGCTACAATATTCCTTTTGAAAGAAAACACTTGTATCATGTTTAAAATTTAATTAAATTTATATATAGCTTTTTCACTTAAAAGCATTGTTCACGTGAACCTTTTCAGAAGCATTTCTCTTAAGTACAATATTTCATCTGAGTGTAGTTTAAACCACTAGGCTTAACAATTGCACATAAGATCTTCACCTCACCCATGTGGATGAGACCATTAAAGATGTTAGCCTGACTTAACTAGAATTCAATTTATTCAGAAATATAAACTTGTATTTTAAAATCACCATGACATCCACCTACAGCACAATGTGTAAGACCGTATTTTTCTCTTTGTGTTTCATTTATTGTATGAACATGTAATGGAAATATATTATGTGAGATTCTGGAATAGAATTTTGAAGGATGGAAAATTGTTTCCAGTGCTGAATAAGAGTATAACTGCATTTGTGATATAATTCATCATCTTGCCAAAACTTACATTTAATAAATACCTCATTACTTCTCTGTATGGCAGGAAATAGTCTCTTGCAAGTTGACCAAAAAAGGCAGCCAAGGGAAAGGAAAGCTTTTCAAATTTGAGTTTGTTGGCAGAAGATTAATTTTTCTCAGTATTTTTTTAATCTTAGGTTCATGGTGGTTAGACAGACTGAGGTACTTTGGCATTGTTAACTGCAGTTGGTTACTGCACAAATTCTGAAAATATGTACTTACTGTTTGTGCTAGCGTTCTTATATAGGTGGGCTCTTCGATTAGGATGGTGAACATGTTTGAATGAAGGTGATGTAGAATAAGGGAACTTTTAAAGTGTGCTCAAAATAAGTAGAATCTCTTTATTTTCTTTTTATTTATTTATTTTTAAAGTAGGTTCCATGCCCAGGATGGAGCCGAGTTCAGGGCTTGAACTCAAGACCTTGAGATCAAGACCTGAGCTGAGATCGAATTGGATGCTTAACTGAGCCACCCAGGCACCCCTAGGTGCCTGTTTATTAAGGGTTTTAAACTGTCTGTTTTTCCCATTGACATATATGAAATAAAACTGGTAATTGTCAACTGTTTATTTCTATGTGTCAGTAATCAAATATAAGTTAGTGCTCATAAGTATATAAGATAGGTGAAATGTGATTATGAACTTTTCATAAGAATTATAATTGTTCAGTTTTCCTAGGATTCACTTTCTCTTTGAAGGATTCTTTTGGCTTCAGCTATATTGAAAATTTGACATTTCTGAGAAAATTGCCATTTTTGTTCTTTTAGGGAGTTTTCAAAAATGAATGTTTTAAGATAAAGCTTTTGTATCTTGTAATATTTTTTTTTAATTTTTTTTTTCAACGTTTATTTATTTTTGGGACAGAGAGAGACAGAGCATGAATGGGGGAGGGGCAGAGAGAGAGGGAGACACAGAATCCGAAGCAAGCTCCAAGCTCTGAGCCATCAGCCCAGAGCCTGACGCGGGGCTCGAACTCACGGACCGTGAGATCGTGACCTGGCTGAAGTCGGACGCTCAACCGACTGCGCCACCCAGGTGCCCCTGTATCTTGTAATATTTTTAACGGCATTTGAAGTGCTTTATCCTAAAATGAGATTTTCCTCATTCTTTGATCAGTTATTTGTTTGTATTGATTCACTGAGAGCCGAACATAAACATGGAAGCACAACCAAGTGGTCTTAGCAGATGGAGAGACATGTGTTCACAGTCATGCATGTGGTCTCCTCCTCTGGCAAAGGTTCACATTTGTCATGATGCTGGCTATAATCAATAGTCGTGAGAAAATGACCTACGTGGTGCTTGTGTGAATTAAAACCTTCATGTTGGCTATATGGGGAGGAATCTCAAAAAGTACCACCAGCACCATTCCTACTACCTTCAGTAATAATAATGACTTATGCAAGAAACACTATCATTTGGACCTTTATTAACATTATTTGTAACACAGGAACCCTGTAGATTCTGCTGTTTGTTTGTTTGTTTGTTTGTTTGTTTGTTTGTTTATGCAGTGAGGAAAGCTGAAACTCAGAGATATGAATTAATTTTCCGAAGGATGTTCAGCTAAAAACTGGTAGATATTGAGTTCAAATCATATTTGCATGACCCTAAGCTCTTTGTATTTTATTGCCAGCTCTAGGTGCTTATAATGTCTCCCAAATGTGATACTGTAAGAGAAATTAGTTGCTTGTTGAAAGTTAACTCTCACTACCTTGTTATCTCAGAAAGGATATCCTTGAAATGTCCTTCTTAGCATCATATAATTCTTCAGTTTTTGAGTTCATCAAAATATTTATTTTCACAACATACTGATGATAGGCTTTTGGCGACTATGTGGAATCTTTCCACTCTAACACAGAATAGAAAAATATGACTAGATTAAATGTGATCACTTCAAATTTTTTACCTTGTTGTCTTTTCTGAAGACCATGGATATTAATATGTACATACAAAAACAGCTTTGGAGACTATATAGTTACTTCATTTTCTTCTATTGGAAGGTGTAAGAGTAGATATTTTCCCATTAAGAAAAATGTAAGGAAATGAACACATATTAATTTCAGACATCGAATTTTGATATTTATTGATTATATTGTTTAAATTTTGACTTCTTCATGCTTTGTAATTTTAGCTTTTAATGAATGTTTATCTGGAAAATCTTTTGATAGGATGATTCCACTGCTCCTGAGTCATCACTGTCCCTATATGTAATGCAAAGTATTCAAATTTTTATATTCATTATTACTCTATAATTACAAAACTAAGTTCTAATTAAAATAAGACATAGAAAGTCCAACATTTGAAACAATGATGATGATTTATATATATTAATATAATTGTCCACTTTCTAAATCAGTCCTTTTGAAATTTCAAGGTTGGCATATTCAAGGTAATATAATCTGTGCTGTTCCTTTCCCTTCAGGTAAAGAATGAATGTAATCACTGTTTCTTATTAAGTTTCACATACATTGAGGAAGAGGCCTAGTTTCAAATCTCTATTTGGCCACTTATTAATCCTCTGTACATGAGCATTCTAAGCATCTGATTTTAATAATAAAATTAACATTAAAACACCAACTTCATGGTGTATTGTTGGGAGGATGAACTGAAATGAAATAAAAGTGAAATGAAATGAAGTAATAAATAAGTGAAACTATTTTATTATTGCAGTGTACTATCAAGTATTAGTTATTACCATCATCATATCTTTTTGCTTCATCATTTGCTAAACTAATAACAAGATTGAATGGATTATTGTGACCAGATTTCCTAATCTTTTTCTTGGGCAATAATCACACCTGTAATTCTATATTAGATTTCTGAGATTAAAAAAAAAACATATAATACTTATTTTTTTTAACTGGAAAAAATGGTATTAATGCATTATATATAAGCAGTATGCACTGCAAATTCAGCAAAAGATACCACAAAAAACTGGTCTTTCCTATTTGTGTGCTTGTCCACATAAGCATGGATACTTACTCCTGAATATACTGGTGCACATGAAAGCCATTAATAGTCTATGCAAACACTTGTGAATGTTATATAATTGTTTCCTCTAGGTAGGATAGTAGGATTGATTTGAGTCTCACTTGGAAGATACATTGCAGTTACAAACTTGAAAGGTGTAAGAAATTTCCTTTTAATTTAATTGAATCCTTTTGGTATAATAATCTATTTGGTGTAATAGAATCAAGTTT